AAATTTCAAGACCACAAGAACTCAACATCCATAACACATCAAATTACTAAAACTCCTCTTAAGCATGAGGAGCATTTCAAAAGAATTATTTAAAAAAGCACATGTAAAACCTTGTAAAAACTTTTTATTCAGTAAGATAGGTAAATCTAGCACATTCACAGCATCTACCCGTTGGAAGATTTTTTTAAATGATCTGTTTTATTAATATTTCACATGAACTCTGCCCTGTTTCATCGTCCCAGGTGAGGAAAAGAGCAACACCACAGCATTAAGTTTAAATATACTAAGAATTTTGTAGTTTTAAATACCACTTTATTTAACTGTTATAGATCGTAATTGCATGCGTTATCTGTTTAAAATATCATATCTTGGCTGAAATGCTAAATAATGAGTAGATTAAATATTTCTTCTTTAAAATTTCTTTTAAAGTTTTATTAAATTTAAAGTTTGTTAAAGGTAATTGCATAGTATGTTAAAGTAATTTTGAACCTCAGACATTTTTTTCTTTCTGTTTTGTTTAACCAAACTAAGACATGGCATCATATCTGCCTGTTTCTCAAACTTCTGTATAATTACTCAGTCCCTGGTCCACCCACGCTGCCATCTTCTGCAGCATTTATAAAGACCTGTCTGCAATACAGAGCCAGACCCCCTACAGACACGCACACACACATATGTTTATGCCCTAAACCTAGTGCATTGGTGCGCTCTAATTAACAGCCAGGGAGTCTATGTAGTAGTAGCTGGCGGAGTGATAAAAAGAGGAGCAGATGTAGGCCTAGCATATTCCTTGCCTCGGGGGTGGTAGCCTGACAACCTTCCTTGGGGGGGTTAAACTCTTGACCTGCCCAATCGATTCCTATCCCCCATTCCTTTCTTTTTTTTTCTCCCTTAATGATTTAAAATTACTGACATTTATTCAAGTGTATCATTAGCCTGGACAAGTTGGAGGTAGATTCTGTTTTGTGATGTTAGAGGGTTGGTATGTGGATACCTTCATGTCTGGGCTCTACTCCAAGCTTTGATGCCACTCAGTTTACTTCGTGGCATTTTCCACCAATGTCTTCCTCACAGTGTCAGCTTCAGAATGATGTGTCTATCTGACAGTGTCTCTCTCTAGTGCTGATGGCTGTGGAAAGAGAGGAAGAGGGCGATAGATCCTATCTCCACTCAGCCTCTCATCCCCAACCCAGAGCTTACACAAACAGATGGTGTGTGTCTGTCATGCAGTTAGGTAGCAGGGAGCCCGGAGAGGAAAGAAGAAAAAGATGCAGACAGTTGATGCGGTCATAGTCCTTACTGGTCTGTGTGCGGCTGCAGGTTTGAGGCAACGCCTGACTCCAGGGACACATACCTAACGGCTCTCCATAAGCTTCACTTTGTTGTTAAACAAGTCGCATCATCTCTGTACAGCAAAATTATTATATATGCAGGTACAAAATAGTTGTTAGTGTGTATGGAAATGAGTGTGTAGTTTAAAAAGGGCAAAAGGAGCGGAGAAAACAGGTGGGCTGATGGATGCCTGAATACGTGTCTGGCCATCTGGACTCCTGTCACTGGGATACTTAATCCCATCAACAGAGAAAATGTATGCAAGTGTGCTCAGCCCATGTTTGTGTTAGAAAGCAATTGCTACCTTAAGTGCACACTTTTGTTTTCATGCATATGTGTGGACATGTCATGCAGCATTATTCTAAACATGGCCAAATAGTCTGCACTGATGTTTAGGAGGAATGTAGCTTTTCACATACACACCTTTCTACTGCCCCTCTGTGTAATCAGACAGATCCAGACACATGCAAACACATCCCAGAATGGCCTCTCTAATCGTTGGTACATTTTAACAATTACTGCTAACAAGTCCTTATTACCCCTAGTGCCCTGCCCCTCCTCTTGATCCCAGCTTCTAATTGCTGCTGCTGTTTCTGAACAGCTCTCTGCATAGTTATTAGACAGGAAACACTTCGAAACGCCAACACAGGACCACACCTCTTAAACACTGAGTTAATGCCAATCAATCAAGTTTGAGGTTAGTTAGTATGTAGCATTTATATACATAGAAATGTGTTTGTCCCTTTGGATCTCTTTATATTGTACCTTTTTTTTAATCACAGCTAATGTTTCAAATGATCAAAGAAAAGTTTAATATTCGGTAGATTAAAAAAATTTAATATTCAGGTAATGATTTTCCTTTTTTTTTTTTTTGAGAGAAAATTATTAAAAACTACATAGTCTTATATGAAAACATAATCACATCCCAGAAACATATACAGTTCTAACATTATGAAATTCAAAAACAGATGAGAACAGTGGGGGCCCTTCCCAGGAGTGGCTGGATTCCTAAAATGACTTAAGGAGCCTGTTGACAAGTTGTATAAGAGATCACAGGAGATCGAAAAACAGCATCTAAAGCCCTCCTAGCCTTACTTGCCAGAGCTAATGTCAGTGCTCATGACTAAACAACAAACTGGGCTAAAATGGCATCCATAGAGAGTTTAGAGCAGGGGTCACCAACCTTTTTAAGGCTTAGGGCTCTTCATGAGTCATAGGAAGGGCTCCCAATACTGACCTATGAACTGGATGGTTGAGCATTCACCTAAACTTCATACATAATAAACATATTTTTCTTGTTTCTTTTAATTTTCTGTTAAATATTCTCAATTGAAATCTCTGAATGCTTAAATGCTCAATAAGATTAACATGATGAAATCCTCCTGAAGATGCTGCGGGCACCCTATGTGATCCTTGAGAGGTTAGCTTCCAATGCTATGTTTGTAACTTTCACACTTATCCATTAAAGGCACTGTGGAGGATTTTCGCAAATTTTTCTCTCCATTTATTAGAAAAATGCACATGCACAACCCTGTACCTTCTCCCGAACACCTATTAAACGCATACGAGAGCATGCAGAGACCATATTTTTTGCACGCTCTGTTTAAAAATGCTGTTCTCATAGCTTATACAAGCGTACTGTGCCCAAACGTCGGTCTTGTTCCCTAAACACTTAATCACTATATAAAGCGGGGAATATATAGTGGACTTTATAGTGAACTCAGTTAACTGACCGTTCAGACAGATAATCACTGCTTTTTGCTCCCCGTTGGTCACGTAACTCCTCCTCCACTGTGCGGTGCCTGCTACAGCTTTGTTATTAGACGCTGCTGTCAGGTAGTGACAGCCTAATTTGGCGACAGTGGAACACTGTGACATCAAATCCCACAATGCTTTGCGAGGAGAGCTCTCCGCGAAGCATTCCGGGATATATCTGCCTATTCTGAGGTCTGTCTTTTCTTCTCATACACTTTGTAGACACTTTCTCTCATGACACTTTCAAAGGTGACCTTCAATGACTGTCTGAATACTACACATATACACCTGAAAGTGAGCATGTGCAGAGAAAGATAGCTAACGGGACGAGCACGTAGGAATGCCTCACGTAAACATATCACATGAATGATTGACAATTAGGAGGACCATTTATTTAGATTATCCACCCAGAAAAATTTGTCCTCTATACCCTTAAGGGAATAATTTTGGACTGCTCTTGGACTAAAAACGTACCAGTCTTAATATAAAAATTTGTAAAAAATAAAAAACAAGAAGAAAGGGCAAAAACATATTGACATCAATGTCAAACAATAATTATCAGTTATCAAAACTATTGATGGCAGTTGGTGTTTCTTGGGAGGAATTACTATTTCTCTGTTTTTTGGGTCTTATTTATTTTTTCACATACAGATGGTTTAATTTGGACCTCTTTCTTCCTTCAGTGATTGCAACATTTATTTTAAACCTACTCTTTTAAATTACTTTATTTTTAATTTATGTCTTGGTCTAATGCTCAGTTTTTTGGATCTGTTACCAAAAATTAAAAACAGAAGCAATCTGTTAGGTGGAAAATAGTTTTTCACAGTACTGTATGTGTGTGTTCTGTGTGTGTATGTGTCAGCAGTGAAGTAACTCCTGCTGACTGGGCTGTATATGTATATTCTTCATAAAACAGCCTGTCTGACACATCTGAAATTCTGTCTGTTTTTTCCCCCGCCTGCTATATCACCTACAGGGAGGCTTGTTGTGAGTATTAGCCTGCGGCTTTTGTCCTGAAGGCTTTACTGGTTCAGCTGTCTACACCAGTATCTCCCCATCCGATGGTTTATGTTACAGGAAGGAGCAATGTCTCTCACATCAGTGTTTAAGCAAGCACGTACAGTTTCAGCCGCTGATAAACGATGGAATAGTCTGGAAGCCTCTTTTGGTAACAGGCTCCATCCATCCATCTTCCAACGCTTATTCTGTCAGGGTCACAGTGGGGCCGGTGGCGTAAGGCGTGGTAGACCATGGACAGGTCGCCAGTCTGTCGCACGGTAACAGGGTCTTAAATGGTCATTGTAATTAACGATGACACCAAAGCTCTGCAGTCCTAAGTAAAGTAGAAAAGATGTTGTGTAAAAAGCCTTGAAATATATTTATTTTTACTGCTATTATGTATTTTTAGATTTACTTTTTGAGCCTTGCTTGTGACAGTTCTACATAATTTTGAACTAAAGTGTTTAATAACATTGCTTTTGCTCTTATATGGAAGGTTTAAGCTGTAATTTGTTTTCATTTTCTGATTTCTGAAGATCAATGCATATCCACCGTTGGCAAGGTAACCAGTATCCCATTTTGACTAGTGGCTAGGACATCAATGAAAAGTCAGGTACAAAGAAACGAGGTGTCATAGATTACAATTTAGGGTAATTTTGTGAAAAAAATGAAAACAATGTTTTTGTAGGGTTTTCCGTGGACTGAATTTATGCAGTCAAATTAGAGTCTACATTTTCTGAATATTTAAGAGTAAGATCAGGTTACTGCACTGAATGTGAAGGAAACTGTATAAGCTCTGGTCCAAATGTACTCCATAAACTTTGATATCAACTAAAGAAATTGGTACCTACAGGAAAGTAGACTAACCCATGCATTAATATGGAAAAAATGCTCTTGCTTTCTGCTCATTCCAGAGGACCTGTTGCCGTTTGGCTTCCCCAGCATAGACATGGGTCCCCAGTTGAAGGTAGTGGAGCGGACAAAGACAGCCACCATGCTCTGTGCTGCCAGCGGCATCCCTGACCCGGAGATCTCCTGGTTCAAAGATTTCCTTCCCGTCGACCCCAGCCTCAGCCAGGGTCGCATCAAACAGCTCCGATCAGGTGAGAGACAACGATCAACAAACAGAGCATCTAAAGCTTCGCTTTGTGATAAAAGCAAATCCCTGTTCGTCTAATTTTGGTGATTATCGGGTTTTAATTATGATTGGGGGATTACATGCTGCTCTCTGTGTTTATCTATATCCTTTGGGGATGTAAAACCTTTTTAAAGCCAATTTCATTAAAAGGATGATTGCACCATTCTTAAGGACAGAAAAAAATGTGTTTGTTTTTTTTTTGTCATCAACATATGGTAGAAAAGATTGTGGAAAAGAAATGTTATATAGGAGGTACATATCTCTTTATCAATAATAAAATGAAACTTACCAGAAAGCAGTGGAAGCAAAATACCTAAATAATAAAAACCTTGATTAACCTTGATCTAAAGGCCTTTAAAGATCTCAAAAATGAATTTATGCTGATATATGTATTGAAATGTACTATATTAAAAAACCTCCTCGTCAGCCTATTGGACTGGGAGATGTTTTTGCCAAAAATGTTCTTTGCTGCTGCCCCAGAGAATGGAAACCACAAGCCTGTGCAGACAGATCCTAAAATGAAATGGGAAAAATCACATCCTGCGCTTAAGACAGTTTATTCAGCTTTGTTTATGCTCTTCTGTATAGATGATACAGTGTCTCTCGGAGTAAGCCGACATGTTTTTCACAGCCATTTTCACTCAGCCATCCTCAGGGGAAATGAAAGTGATGGTGAGGCGAAACCATTTTGTTGTTGCTTCATCCATATTCTCTGCACCCCCTACATCCTGCCAGCTCTGATATCTCCCTCCTCTCAGACAAAATGTTTCACTGATCACTTTCAGTACTTGTCAGCTATACGTCTGGATTACCGCTTGCAGAACTTACAGCTACGCGGGTTGAAAGAATTCATCGGCTTGCAGCTTGAGCCCAAAGCTCCAAGTCATAAGCATAAAGTTAGCATCTTCAAAAGAGGTTTTCTAGTTCCCTGTCTTCACCTGCCTCCCCCTCCCCGAACCTTTCCAACAAAAAGTTAATTATCTGCTGCGTTTGATGTTTTTTTTTCAAGAACATGTTAAGAATCACATAAGATTTTATTGGAAACGAGTTGATTAAATTTGACTACATTTTGGATATTCTGTTATTAAGTATGAGAATGCAAATGGTAAACAGTGATAAAAGCCTATAAACAATCATGAGGCTTTTCACAATATTCCACATTTTTGCATCTTTGTTTAGATAATTATTGTTCTTTTTATGCCTGTGCTACAGTGATCAATAGTGATTGATTCCCATGATTATTATCTTTCAAGTTATTTTTACAGGTCCCTGAACAAGGACCTTGGTACAAATCATAACTAATATGCATGTTAGAGTCTCGCCTTATAGGTTTGTGAACTTTTTGGGCAGAAATAACTTTGCAGACTCTAAAGTGTAGTGTTATTGTTTATCGGCAATTTCAGCAGTCTGCAAATGACACTCCAACCTTCAAGCGTCCACCTTTATTTAGAGCCATTTTTATACTCAATAAAGACAACTCAAAGTACTTGACATGATCTCAAATATTCATTCACTGAAAACGAACAAAACAAACAGATAAACTATTGCTGAGCCAAACACAGACACACAATTCTATCGTGATTTATGTCATTAGGACCATGTGGCGACTCCCATTGAGTTTCATACATTTTTAAACCTTTCCAATGCCTTAACCATAAAAATTGACCTAACAATTTACATTGTTTATCTACACACTTTTGACACCTTAGTGCTTAACCCAATTGCTAATGAAAAAAAGGAAGTGAGAACCAGCTAAATGTCCTTATTTTGGTACAAAAGGCCCTCAGATTGAACAGTTCATAGAAAAATACTGTTACCTCATGAATAAAGGCAGGTCTGGAAAATATAGCAGACAATTGATTCAGAATCTGAGATGCGAGATATTTCCTATCCTTTGCTCCTGTCTTTGATTTTAAATTTGCATCTTGATTATGTTTCAAGGTCTATTTTAAATTTAATGCTTTTTCAGCTCTAATAATGTGATAAATCCCAGAGCTGTAAAGGTATGCAACTGCTTATATAGCTTATATAGACTTGTGTTCAGTTTAATCTATATTATCTGTCTGAAATGTTAATTTAGCAAAACTAGACCAAGTCTGGATTTTTTATGTTCTCTCTACCAGCACAGTTGGTAGGGAGGAACACAAAGAGGAAAACTAACCTAACTTCTCTGCATGGACGTACTTTTAATAGCTGCTTTTAAAAGAAATATTTTATCCTTTTATCATTAAGGGCAAAAACCTAAGTAATGTTTGACTTTTGTACTTAAGTAAATTGTAGAATCTGTTCCCTACTTGAAAGTATAGTGTTATTGTTTATCAAGAACTAAAGGTTGAGAACCTCAGTATGATATAGTTGCTGTCTTCCTAATGTTTAGTTCAGGCTACCTTGAAGAAAATCCTTATAGTTTCTCAAAATGGTTTATGTCTCAAAATATATCGTCCAGAAGAAGTAACACAAGCAGTATAGCTATAGTAATTACAATACACTTTAAGTGGCAACAGAAAAACAAACCCAAGTGTTATTTGTTTACATAATGTTCTTAGGAAATCATCAAAGTAAAGTGCTAATGCAAATCCTAAGGAATATTTCCTCCGGAGTTAATGAACATCATAACATTATGATGCAACATGCTTATGTTTGTGGATAAATGTCCTCCAAATCCAGAAATATCAATAGTTTTTCCTTTTTTTTCAGAAGACGTTCAGCTGCTCTTGTTAAGTACTTAGCATTTTTTTTTTTTCTATAACATACATTTTGCATGTTTAATTGCCTCCCTGCACCTTTCACAAGCAATTTGCTGCAGTTTTTCTCTCCATATGGAGCAGGTTGTAATGCTTCGCCGTGTAACGAATTCCCGTGTTTGATAGAGCGGCTGTGTGCATGAAAGTAACAGAGAAACCCATTTTTGCCCCTAGACCTAATCTTAAGTGTAATTTCCTCCCAATAGTCCACTGATGTGTAGAAAAATGGGTACTTGTCACTTTGAAATATACTGTAGAGAACCTACAAGTGTAATTACCTTGTGCAAAAAAAAGAAAATCTGCAGTTTGGCTGTGGGTGGAATGTTGTGAGTAAAGAGCATAACTGCTGCATGAATCCAACAGAAACAACCTGTTTCAAACATAAGTAGGGGTTTTATTGCCCTGGTATCTACTTCAGAAATAACATTTATCAGAAATGCTATTGAGTTTAACTTAATGCCTCTTAGACCTTGTCTTAAAGGTTTTATGTTAATTTATCTTTACTTTTCTACAGGTCCGCCCTTAAGTGCAAGACAGACATAACAGTGATTCAGTGGAACACTGTATTAGGTGATATTTCACATCAGTGAAACAGAAGCAAGACAAATGGCATGGCAAGATTCTTCGCAGTCTTTAATAGGATTTAAAATCACCAAAAGCTCTCGCAAACTCGAAGAGCAGAATGTGCTGCATAATGAACCAAACAGTGCACTGAAATGACTTTAAGGAAATCAATTACACATGAGCTAGGCAGAAAATAGCTCTGAAAATGTGTTATGGGTGAAACACTTTTTTTAGATGAGATGTTTAATGGTGGTCCCATCTGAGCAATGCATCTGATTCAGTGGGCAGCCGCCAGATCTTACTGGACCCGAGCCAGGAATCTGCTCTGGGCCACAATCATTGCTTTCTTCTCTGTCCCTCTGCTTTCCTCCTCTCTGTTGGGTCTTAGAAATACTTTTTATGCCACACGTGGGTCAAGATGAAAAATGATTCAGCAAGAGACACACAAAAGAGGGCTCTCTTTCCTCTCACAGCCATTAGGTATCCATCATCCACCGGGGGTCTCTCTAACGCAGGTAGCCGTCCAAAGCCATCAGCGCTGTGTTTACACATCTGATACCTGCTGCACATGCACTTCCTTCCTTCCTGGGGGCTGTAACATATGGTGCAGCACAGAACTGAACTTTTCCTGACATCTTTATACCTCAACTAGGCATGCATTTATTTTTTGAGGCCATCTGCTACATTGGTTTAGATGTGCGTGAGGAGAACCGTGACAAGGTGTCAGTCTGTCAATGAAATTCGGGGCCAAGGACTGCAGTTTTTCAAAGCACTTAACAGGCTTCTAAGACCTTTTCTAACAGATGGCATGCAATATGGACCCAAAGGTTCGATTACTTGATAATGGATGGACTTGTCTTTGTTGAGAGCTGAGTCTGATCAAAGGTTATAGTAATAAGAGTGTTTGAGTCACGCGATGTAGAATAATATTGTTCCTCTCTTCACTTAATCCTGTGTACACGCATAGGGGGTGGGGGGTGGGTTCCTGGCAGTTTTTTGGCATTTAGTCACAAAATCAGATTCCAAAGGATTAAAGTGGGAAATAAACACACTGGCCCCAAAGACTTGGTAAAGAAGCTCTTTTTTTTTTTGTAAGGGATAAGTAAATGTTTCTGCAGGATCAATTTGCTACTCAAGAAATCGCCTGCAGGCTAAAAGAATATGTATGACATAAAACAACATAGTATTAAAAACACTTGAACACAGTATAGATGAGCGAAAAACAAAATATTTGACCCTTTTCTTGGTTTTATATTATTTAGTGATTTTCTAGTTATATTTCAGTAGTGTTGGGTTTTTTTGTGTTGCTCTCTGTTTTCTTTCCCCTAGCTTCTAGTTGCTTCTATCCAGACCTGTTCCCTATCAGGTGATTACCCCAGTTTTTGTTCTCTCTCCCATTTATACACCTCCTGTGCAGTTCCTCAGTGCTGGTTTCTTGTTGTTGCTTTTCTCCACATGTGTT